CAGCAGATTCCTGTGTAGCTTCAGATCTGAGTTGTCTTATTAGTAAAACTAATTTATACTTTTGTAGCAACACTATTTTTATGTAATGGCAAAGAAAGGGTTCAGAATCTTTTCTTTTTTTCCTGTGTCATATGTGGCAGCACTGTTCAATGTTTCTTGAAAACATTACTGTAGTATGTGACGTGTGAGTAAACTCCAACTCTGTATCAACAACACTGTTGTGTAACTTCAGTTAAATACTTGTATGTGTGTAGATTAGAAAGAGGTAAGATAAAGGATCTGCAGTATTTTATGAAGTATTAATCGTACAAAGGTCAGTTTTATACAAGTGTGTATTTACCTGGTAGTAGGCTGTCAGTAATGGCTACGCCTCTCTATTTGGACTGGTAGATCTCGGCAGACTGGCAACTTTAAAAGTAGCTCTCGGTTCAAAAAAGGTTGGGCACCCCTGCTTTAAAGAGATGCTGTATGAGAAACCAATTGCACAATATAAATCTATTTTAGTAGACCTCAACAATGGAATTATGATGATATGATGAATTATGATAGTAATAGTTCTTTCACTCGTAGCTCGGGCTGCGGGGGTGCTAGAGACGGGAGCATGTTGATGTCACCTTCCTAGCCGGAGATATGGCCGCATTTTACAATAAACTTCCGTTGGGTCGCTTAAAAACAAATATCGCAAATCGAATTTGCAATCGCAATATTTGTCGCAATTAGATTTTTTCCCAAAATCGTGCAGCCCTAAACCCCACTACCCAGTAAAAACTGAAGTACTCATATGTGTGTGTGCTCTACATTAACAAAGTGGATGTAAAGGTCACTGATCCCTCAGGATGGTAGTTGACTATATTTGAGCAGATTAACTAAAGGTTATGAGATGTTATACTGCTGGAGCTGGAAAATAAGTGTTCTGGCAGCCTGCGTCTCAGGAGCATATGGAAAATACAAGAAAACAATTTATTTGATTTTAATTTATCAAACTTTAACATTTACAATGTCAATGCTGTAGGAAAACCATTAGTCTTATCGCTTAATTAATGTATTATTTTCAGCTCTCAAAAGCCAAGCAAACGTCATCTCGGGTAAGAAGAAGCTAAACTGTGCTGTGATTTGTGTGTGACTGCTATAACTCAAAGCCTAGTTACAGACATTAGTACGCGTTCCCTTGTCCTGAATGAAGACAGCAGTTGAGGCTGAAAGTCAACTAAAAGTGTCAACTATAAGACTACTACTATGTTTTCCCAGTGTGATTGGACAAATGTGATTACTAGTAATGTATTAAAAGTTATAGAAATCTAAAAGGACCAATTCATATATTTATTTTTCTACTCTTTGGGACCACTACAACTTTCATCCAAAATATAGAATTTGTATTTATGTCATATTTGACGCAGGGCTGTGAAAACTGTAGTTGGATATTGAGCTCTTGCATCATGAGGTATTTTTGCAGGTTTTATTCTGACTTCAAGCGAGGGGAAAATGTCAGTCATGGCATCTAGACCGCCTCAAACAGACTTCCACGTAACTTCCTTTAATCTCATTCTGTTCATCAGCACAATGTAAAAGCAGAAGAGCAAACTTTAACCATCAGCTGTCTGCAGCTTTCCACACTTCACATCCTGCCAACTCTGGTAACAAAGTAAACCCTTCTTTGGCCATTGTGATTATAGCTGGTATTACCCTGCAGATTCCCGACAGCACTTGAAAGCAACACAAATCCTTCTATGTCCAGTAAGCCTGTGGGGGGGAGGAGGAGGGGAAAGGTCACCGAGACAATCTCCCATCCTGAGGAAGTGAAGTCCATCCGTGTCTTCTCTGAGTTTTATATTTGTTTTTTCATCCTCTCTCAGTCCACACACACACACACACACACACACACACACACACACACACACACACACACACACACACACACACACACACACACACACACACACACACACACACACACACACACACACACACACACACACACACACACACACACACACACACACACACACACACACAGTGTCTGCTCCTCCTCACCTCCACAAACACTTCCCTCCACCTTCAGTTATGCACCGTCACACAACAATTAAAGTCTCTCGTTAACAGCTGCTACAGATTAACCGAGTATCGCTTCTGAATGGAGTGTTTTCCAGAGACTAATCCTCTGCAATCCCCCCTTTAAAACGGCGGGAACATGATAAAACAGACACCACTTCATCCATGTGTGTCTCTGCACACCATGGGCGGTTATGGTGGGGAGGGGCAACGTGATTTTCATTTGAATAACTTGTAACAATGATCTTTGAGCCCCCTGTGGCCCCCCTCCAAAATAAAAGCTTATAATTATAATAAAATTGTAGGTAGCATTGTGCTGTAACTAGCTAAAGTTAGCTGGAATGCTTTTTGTTTTTCATAATGTCATTTAATACAATTTGAACTACTAAAACAAATTCTGTTACTAAAGAAAATCACAAATGATGGTATGTTATGTTTTTTCGTGCGCTATGACAGAACTAAACATTTTAAAATGTTAAACACTGTCTTTGTCTCTTTTGTCCCGCATTAAATGTGCCTCTCTAATAAAACAACTACTACTGCAATACTACATGGTACAAGTGTTTGTCTACTGCTTTAAAATAAAAACCTCTCCACCAGTTTGCTCAAAGATTGTAGCTCAACCCTGTGAGAGACTTTATGAATCACCATAACAACCTAATGAGACGTCCATCATCATTATCTCTGACCCCTCCATGTTCTGAACAGTGAATATGAATTGTTACCATCTGATCTACAGATACAGGGTCCCGGGATTCAATAAAGTCACACTGAAGCTCTCCTTTGTGCACCAGTCAGTCCCAACATTAAATACAGAGCTTAATCCCAGGTCTAATGTACGACAGAGATTCTTTGAGCAAGTTTCTCTTCAGTGATCCTGATGCTACACTATGTTCAATGTTTCCTTGTATCGAGTCTTAAAGGGGACCTATCATGCAAAATGCACTTTTTGATGTCTTTTATACATAAATATGTGTCCCCGGTGTGTCAGGAGACTCACGCAGCGTCAGAAAATAAAACCCTCTCTCTTTTCCTCCGTACCCAAATCTCTAAAAACGGGGCTACAACGGAGCTGATCCAGATCTTTTCAGTTTAAAAAGAAAAAAAGCTTTATTTTTATTATTTTTATTCAGCCTTTATTTATACAGGTGAAAATCTCATTGAGACACAGGGTCTCATTCTCAAGAGAGACCTGTTTATACCCAGAATCAGCACTTTAGTAACAGGAAGAGAAATAGAGGCATATGAGGCATGGCTAGTAGTGATGTGTCGGTCGCTAACGAGCCGATTCTTTTGAACGGCTCTTTGGTACGAACGAGGGGAACCGAGTCCTACTTGGTGAGAGCCGTTCTTTTTATCGTTCAATCGTTGGTCCGCACTCACTGCCTGCCAAAATCCACTCGCCTTTTAAAAAGCTTGATTTTGTTCCCCAAACGTATTCTGTGAAGACCCGCCCCTACTCTGATTGGTAGGTTTCAGCACGAGGAGTGAGATGGGGTGGGTCTTAACGGAATACGCGAGAGAGAGAAGTCATAACAAGTGGTACAGGACAGGTAGACGACGTGTTTTTCGGATGGAAAATGAGCCAAACGCGAAAACGCAGCAGCATTTGGATGCACTTCAACCAAAACCCAGACAGTGATAAAGCGCACCATTTGTAAAGGCAAAATATCCTTTAAACAGTGGCGAGCCGTCAGGGCCCTCTAGGCCCTCTGTGAGGGCCTAAGATATTCCAAAAAATAATATTTAAAAACATTAAAAAAATATATATTTTTTTTAAATATATATTCTTTTAATATTATTTTTGTTATATTTTTCATTAGTTTTACCGAAAAAAAACTTGATTTAATAAAATAACATTTCCAAAGAAATAAATCCTTCGAATCTGCCTGTTCAGTCTCTGTTTGAATGTCAGTTACTATAGCGGGCCTCTCTGCGATTCACAGAGGGCCCGCTATAGTAACTGAACGAGAGAGTAATGTCAAATGACAGTACAATTGACCAATCATATCTTCCCTCTAAATGGGTGGGTTTTATTATCGCGGACTTTATGACGAGTTCCGCCCGCTGTGAAACTTTTCTTGTTTCCATAGCAACAACAACTTCCTGTCAACAGCGTGAACTCGCCTTCAAAATAAAAGCATGCCAAATTACACTTAAGACATACAACTGCAACGAAAGTAACAAACACAATGCAATATCATTTTCAATGTCAAAGAACACAAATTGGGTTCACAGGTGTTGTTTTGTGTGGTAGAGGGTCGCTGTCATTGATGCGTTTTGCACCCTGGGCCGTTGTTTTGATATTCCGCTGAAGTATACGCTGTGACGTAATAACTATTTTTTTTTTTTTTTTTTCGAGGGAAGGGGTGGGGGTCAGAGGGCCTAGGTATAAAGCTCACGGCTCGCCACTGCCTTTAAAGCAGGGTCAACAAATAATCTCCATCGCCACTTAATTATCATTATGACTGGTGATTATTTCGCAGATAAACCTAGTAACCCCACCCCCTTTAAAAAAAAACGGCTCTTTTGGGCTCTTTGAAAGGAACGGAGCCATAAAATCTGGCTCCCTTCAAAGAGCCATAATTCCCATCACTAATGGCTAGAATGGGTGATCTGCTTGGTTTTTTGACCAAAACACCTCATAGACATGTTTTTTATATTTTTTGTATATATCTGAGACCTATGCTATTGCCTAAAAATAGCATGATAGGTGCCCTTTAATATGTGTCTGTGATGCAAGTCACATTTCGCACTTGATCAGATAATTAAAGTATTATCGTATCATACCGTTACTGTCCCCAGCATGCCCCCCCACTAAAGTCGGTCTAGTCCCGCCACTGCTGCACACACCAAACACTGCAATTACAAAAACCTGCAGGCAGAAGCTGAAGTTTGAGGAGAGAATAGAGAAGGACAGAAAAGCTCTGACAAGAGAAAAATGGACTCACCTGAGGAAGACGGTCTCTCCCTGCCGGACCGTGATGTTGTCCATCACTTTGTTGTCGGAATGAGAGTCCCCTTGGCTGTGGACCGGCAACCCTGCAGGCACAAGAAGCAACATCCTCAGAGAAAGAAGAAATGTGCGTTTTGAAAGAGCGAAAAAGTATCCCCGGACAGACATCGTCTCCAGTCAAAAGGTGTAGAATAAAATCCCTCAGCGAGACAATGAGTCAGTGCGCACCGCGCGCTCCTGCAGATTACTCAATCCGGTTCATTAGTCCTAATCCCGGGGTGCTGTGCAGGTTCCCGCGGTGTGCCGGGAGGAGAGACCCTGTCACTGCATGGCCAAACACACACTCTTTACTGTGTGCGTTTATAAGAAAGAATAAAGAATAGACCCCTCCTTTCTGACGGTCCCGCGCGGCTGCCTGATATTTTACCAAGTTCTATGAAGTCATAGACAACAAGCTACAAGCACACAGTGTTTCGCATTTAAAAACTGCAGCCTGAATATGGAACAACACAAATCCGCTAGTGATATTCAAAGGAGAAGAGAGGTGTCAGCCTGTCAGCAGTTCTGTCTGGAGGAGCGCTTCCCGTCTGTGACCTCACAGAGGACAGGTGGAGATGGTGAGAGCACAATGAAATCACACATGCACCCCCATAAGAGAAAAAACATTATATTTATACCGTAGGACTTTACAGAGTTTAGTGGATTATTGGATGTTTAACCGCCTGCTTCCGGTACCTAAACATGAATTGGATAATTATTGTTGAACATTGACTTTTTATCTCGTATTTTGAATTATATTCATAGACTAAAATCCCCCTGGTGTTGTTGACCATTGTTTTATATCATAAACATATCCGTAGACTTATTATTACTGCAGATATTAAATGGCCTAGAAGCACTGCCTCTATCTCCATGTCATTTTCATTATCAATCCCAATAAAAAACAGCAAACATTTGAAAAACTGAAAACAGCTATTAGCATTTTTTGCTTAACACATGATTTGACCGGACCATAAGATATAAATGGTTGCTGACTCATTTTTGTTGATGAACTGAGTGATCGACTGATTATTGCAGCTCTAATTCAGTAGGTCAACTGCTTTTCAACATAGACAAACGTAATTTTTGTAAAACAAATTAAAAAAGAAGATTATTATAGTCACATGTGAAAAGTGAAAAGTGAAACTAATAATAAGTAATTGAACACATCCTTGCTAAACGTATTAAAATAAGGCTTGTAGCCTTGCTCGGTCTGGGAGGGACAGTAGCTTTTGGTGACTTTAAAGAAAAACACATTCTTCCAACCTCCAAGTAGCTGCAAGTCTGCATTAGGATGTATCTTTATATTGCAATAAAGAATTGTCTCAATGCCATTTTAGGACAGTGACAATACGAGATTACGATAATAATACATAAGCACTGTAATAATTCCGTTAACTTAGTTTTCAGCCAAATCACAATCTTTTCCTATACATAACCTAGTAGTTATTCTCCCTAATTTAACAAAGTATTCCACACAGTCATTTGAACCAAAACCACATATTTTCCTTAACCTAACTAAGTATTTTGTTGCCTAAACCTTACCAACCAACCTTCTAAGAAGTGTATTTAGAAAAATGCTTTAACGTATGTATATTAGTTGACATGTGTAGGAAAATGCAAAAACATTAGGCTAAATAATACATAATCTGCACTAGTTTATTCTACTCTATTCTCTGTTTCTTCTTGCACTATTTGTATTTTGTTTGAATTTTTAGTATAGTTTTTCATTGCCATATCTACACTGTAGCTACTGTGCATAAAAAAAGACTTTGAATCTTTGGAACCTTTGAATAGAAAATCATACAAACTGTTTTTCATGGTGACATTGCCACTGGGTTATTGTCACATATACTTCTCTAAAGATTCTACTAGAATCTTTGAACTGGTTTATGTAATGCTGATGCCTGACCTCCATGAGACAGATCCTGCTCACTGACAGGATGAGAGATGAGCAGCCCAGCAGAGCTCCACCTTCAACACCTCGCTGTGGAGGGCCGGCTCATGTGTTTATGTCATGGCCTCTTAATGGAAAATCATATTTTATTCAAATGAAAATTCTGTATATCTAATCTTTCAGAAATGTTTTATTATCTTCAGAAATATACTGTAGTAATATGGACTGGTTTTCCTGAGATTATAACTAACATTACATGCCAAGTATGCATGTTTGAGTTGTCTTAACATGATAACATGACTGTATGTACACACATGTCAAAAAGAGTTGTGTGGACAGGTGCCCTGTATGCAAATGTCAAATATGATATACAGAACTGCTGGAGCTTAGAAGAAGAATCGGAGGATGAAACCCTCTTTATTGGTCACACATACCTGCACACAGCACACACAGTGACATTTGTTCTCTGCTTTTTACCCATCCTAGTACTAGGAGCTTGTTTCAGGGACTATACGAAACAAAACTGAGTTTACCGAGGGAGTTTTCTGATTCCTGTACATAACACATTTTAGCACCTAGCATCCTCCTCATGCCTGGAGTGACCTCAGTGGCAGCTGTTTAGTGCTACATGTCTTACACTAATTGTTCTTTAAAAGGCCTTCACCCGTCTTCATATAAATAAAAAGCTTTTTTTCATGGATAATTGTTTGGCAGGTGTGTTTGAAAAGCACAGGTGTAACTTAACAAATAAAAGATGGATGAATTCCATTTAGCGGCTTCAGTTTCAGTCCTGGTTTTGTTCATGCTGGAAGACTGGATCATGACAGAAGCATCATTTATGTGAATTGTACCACGTGTGCCTTTCCTACTATGACAAATCAAGAAGCCTGTTTTGGGGAAAGGCATATGTTGACATTGTTCATTCTTCCAAAAGAAGTTGAGTCATGTTTTAAACAGGTTTCCTGAATGCATAGCTCAGTGTTTGTCAGTGTTTGTTTCTGAAAATAACAAAAATGCTTATATGTTGAAGACCTTAGAAAAAGTAATAATGTGTATTCTTAGGGTATGTGAGTTATGCATGCTACTATAGATGAGCACTGAGTCAACACTGATAGATGAATTTCTTATAAAATAAACATACAGTAAGTTAAAGTGTTAATTACTTTAAGGTAAGTGAATTGAAGCAGTCATTACTTTCAGAGGCTCTGTGAAAGAATGGCATAACCCAAGATGTTTCTATGAGATTAGAATAAACAGCCTATTAATACCAGCACACAATAACATGTTTTTATTTGTTTATTGTCATTGTCACTAAAGCATTGGCACACTTTCTGGACAGAGACAACTTTTGTTGAGACAAACAAGTATATAGGTATGCTACATTTTACATTGACCAAAGGTGTTAGTAGAAATATGTATTTAATGTTCCCTAATGACCTTTCCTTGTCATAACCGCTCCAGATGATGCATTCTATATCCATTCAGAATGGAAATGAGATACTTTAAATTAAATCACCTGTTACAGAGGTGATGTTTGTATTGTTGACTGATAGTAAGGTGATATATAAAAGTGTGGAAGGGTGGAAATACTGCCTCTCTAATAATCACCAAAATCCATGCTCGATTGGTTTAGCCTAATTGTTGTAGGTTGCTGAGAAAAGTCAGCATGCAATTATTCAGCCCTGTGATCACAACAGCTAGTGCTTTCACTCCTTTATTTCCAGCAGTCCCCAGTGCCTTTCAGTACCCAGCATTTGCCTCTCAGCACTTTTACCTCAGTTTGTCACACTGTAGAGCGCAGGTAATGAAGTCATACAAATGTAAATCACAACAGCTGCAATCAAAAAACATATTATTGGTGAACATGCCATTTTAAATGCTCTACAGTTTTTATTATTTGACTGTTGTTAAAATCTAAAATAATGTATTTTATGATTCCTAATCCTCTGGTTGAGGTCTCCACTCAGTGGAAATGATAATACGTTTTAATTTGTTTAATTCCCAAGGTCAACTGCAGACTCACAACGTGAACACATTTCATCGTCATTCAGTTTATTGGGCTATCTCATATCTTTTGCCCACTTGGGGGATTAATAAAGGTTCATCTTCTTCTTCTTCTACTGTTTCAAATTCCTCCCTGCCTGCTCTAAGCATTACATTATGAGGCCAGAGGAAGTGGATGTGCTTCAGACCTGACAGCATCAAAGCTGTTTTATAGTCCAGATCCTGAGAGGGACAGAATGAGATGTCACCGTCAGGAACAACCAGCCTCCAGGCAGCACATTCCCGGGAAGCCATACACTCACGTCACCTGACCTGCTTGGAGCGCTGCAGCTTATAATGGAGGTTCCACCTCCGCACAGACTATAAATGCCACTGCTCTGCACCCTCTGCATCTCACCTGAATGAAGTTGTCAAGGAAATAAATGAGTGAGGCACAGCCCACTGAGGTGACATCTATTGTTCTCTCACTGTCACCATTTGGATCAACCCATGCCAAGTCAGTCTTTTAGGATTGCGTGTCACCTTATCACATTACAACAGTTGGAGATCACTTCAACAATGTTATTTATTGTGTTTTTTTCCTTTTTGGTAGGAATATCCTAAAGACAGAAACATTCAAAATAAATGTTTCCTTTGATAGTAGGACTACAAAGGTATTTAAACAACCGGTTTTATTTACCTTATAATAAACTTTGTATTTGGTAATACTAAAGCTAATAATAATAACTAATCAATATGTGTATGTACTATGTACACAATGGATCAAATCACCCAGTGTAAAGTGAAAATGGCCTAGTGATGAACCCACAGATCACAGATCTAAAAACTCCATCCCACAGAAGGGAGATATAATTAAAATATAATAAATCATCTGATAGACCTACTGCTACCGAACGTGCCTCCAACCGCAGACAGACGTTTAGCAGAGGCTTCGCCACCAGCAGGTGAACATTGGGGAGAATTAGCGTTAAAGAGCAAAGCATGTTTCTCAGTGGTTGATGGAGAAACAAACAGAGCTGCAGTGTGAATATTGGACTTCAGATATGCTATTGTACTCTGTCTGTGTTTCAGTAGACGTGTAAATAGCAAAAGCTCTATTCTCAGGGGACTCTCACCAGGGTCCCCCATGTGATTCAGAAATATCTTTCTAGTCTACGTTATTTGTGGTGCATTTGCACGGGATAAGTCCCCCAGATGTTATGCCAAGTCTATGCATAACATCTTCTATTATTAGAAATAACTATGTCATATTTCTATGTACTGTTATATTATGTATGCCAAGTTATGTTTACATAATATTCACAAAGACCTTTTGCTAATGCAATGTCTATGCTTTGTAGCGAGATTACCTTCCTGATTTGCACCTAAAATGTTCCTCA